CCCCCTGCTCTCCCGGGTTTTCAGAGACATGTTGGCAGGTTAGATGATCTCTCTTTTTGTATGTTGTAGTGCTGTATTTATACCGATTTGCTCGCATATCAGGAATGTGTGTTGTGTTGGCAGACTGAAATAAGCAAAGTTTGCATGTGTTTAGCGTTTTTCCTTATCGCAACCACAACAGCAGTCTGGTACCATTAGTGGATTGGTTGTTATTTTTGGGGTTAATTATTGTGAAATCCCAATTGCAAGATAGAAATACTGTAGACGTTATCACTTTAAGAAGATATCTCAGTAGATGGATAACATTTCATGTCACATTCAGCCTTATAATCTTAAAGTGTAAGCAAAATCAGCAGTTTTGTCATCACTTTAGGAAAGAGTCATTTAAACACTAGCTCTAAGTGACGTTGGTAAATTAGTAATGGCTTCTGCTGTTTTGACATCAGCTGCAGATGTGAATGAATGGCGGAATAAAGTAGTTCCTAATAAAAAGGGGTCTTTAGACTCTCCGTGTTTGATTTTCTTATTTATATACATGATTGTGCTGTTGAACTGTTGTATAAACGCAATATCACATTCGTAGCAGTGCGATATGGCTGTATATCAGCATGGGTGGAGCGCTAAGGCACTCGGCCAACGCACACCTCCCACCCGTGCAGATATACAGCCATATCGCACTATTATTCGTGTGATATACTCATGTATTGGGGGACACACATATTTTTGCTTCATTTTTTGTATGGATTTGTATGGAGAAAGCACTGTCCATTCTTTTAAATACAGTGCACATCATCTAGTCTAAAATTAAAAAATGACTGTTCTACGTCACAAACTAAAGGTGAATCAAAATTAAGAAAAAGATTCAACCAACATTTTTACAGTGGTTTTAGGTCATAGTTTAATATGGACCAAAGGCAAAGTGTCTGCATCAAATTAAAAGTGATTTTTTATACATTTAACATATGAAATGTGTATTGAGTATATACTTTAAAGGGAAAAATCACTTTTATAAGGGGTTAAAAATTCACAGTTGTGTGGCAGTAGTGTGTGAATATAGCATCTAATAGTAAAAATGTTTTAATAATTTTTTTTTCTAAATCACACTTGATAAAAACAGTCTGCATAATCTTTGATTAACACTCGCCCATTGTACATGTCAAAGGAGGGGGAAAGTCCCACCTATTTGTGAACACCCTTATTAGCATAGACAGCCCTGAGTAAGAACCATCCTTCCGCCATTAGAATTTTCACACCATACATGTAAATAATTTCAGGAACTAAAAGGCATAGTATTATTTTACAAATGAACACCAGATTCTCCATAAATTACTTTCTTCGAAGCCATGTCTTTTGATATTTTCAGTTTTTCATAGAGATGACATCAGTACTGTTTTGAATCTGCTGCTATGCTGATGCGTAAGTGTTTGTAGCTCTGCCCTCTTCATCTCATTTGAATTCAGCCAAATGCACAATAGGGTATATGCCGAAGCATGCTAATAGGACTTTTAATTTGAAGGTAACCTGGGTTAACCGCTTCCGGTGAACTGTATGACTGTTTTCTTTAAAAAATCAGCGATCCCCACTGGCTGAGTCATATCCTATACAATAAGTGGGTCTCAGATTGTACAAGAAGCGCTGCATCAAATGACATTTTCCTTGCTATGTCTTTATAATATGAGCATTTATTTTACCCTAGTATATTCAATGGAGCGTCTGCGCTAGCCTGCCGATTCTGACGGGCGCGTGCAAGTAAACGGCTTTTTGTCTCATTTTACGTTTAAGCAACTAAATAAAATGCCAAAGTTTCTTTAATTGAATGTATTTTAATGACATTACAACATCAATGCTGCAAAAGGAGCCGTATAAAATGGAAAATAACTCACAATAACAGGTCACCAGAGGTTTATCAGTATTGAAACAACACTAGCTCGGCATGTACACTATTTAGGTCAAAGGTTTCAAAGAGTTACAAATAAATATTTTTGGGGTATTTTGAGCTGAACCCGTAAGGAGTATAAATGTTGCAAATATTTTTGTAAAAATGTAAAAATGTGAAAATATGGGTAAAATTGGAAATGTTAAATTTTTTGTAGTTTGGACTTATATATATATATATAATTTTTATTTTTATTTTTTTTTTACTTTTATGTCTGGACTTTAATTTTAAAATAAAATCTTTTACTAAACAAAAATACCTTCTAACCATGTTTAAATAAGCGTTAAATAAGCTGTGTTATATTAAATGGACTTGATCTTATTGAATGGAGGCACAACTTGTCAACGGCAGGAAAAGATAATGACTCTGAATCTACCAGATTAGCTGTGAATTCTTTTGTTTTATCGCTCTAATATATGATATTTATTATCTTCTTGCTATATGATCTTTCTAGTTTTGTGTGTGATTTCGCACCCATGTCCGTCTATCATTATAGCCTTACCCAATTTACATAAAAAAACACTCTAGTAAACCACAGCCTGAGCTGCAGACATCAACAGCAAGATTAAGTTTAAAACTGCCTACTGTACATTTAAAGGATTATGATTTATAGGTTCATATATTTTTGCATGCTATTAAAACATGCATGTTAATAAATGCCTCTAGTCCTCTCATGAGCAACAGCGTCTCACGCTCTGGACTTTCTGCCCTTTCAGAAGTACATTACCCACATGATTAGATGTAAAATCTTTTTATCTGCTCGGGACAGTAATATTGGATGAGAGGATCACATTCTGAGAAGCTGTGTTGGTTAATTAATGGCATGGCCCATGAAATCATATAAATGTCAGCGAATTGTGAGAACGGACAGCAAGCAAAGAAAGTGGCCACGTGAATGCCAACATTTAATGAAACAGAAATGAGAGCCTGTATCTGATGCGGTGGACTTAGAAGACTTCAATTTGAAACGAAAAATCTGGAACTTGAATGATTTTGTGGATTATACTTGGAGACAAAGCTCTCTTTTTGTCTTATTAAAGACTGCCTTAGTTAACCCGTCATCAGCATATTTCACTGTGTATAAAGAAGATGATAGAGGATGTGAGCAAAATGATGCAATTTAAATGCAACTTTTAAAGCACAGATTGTTGTTCGGTATGTGTCTTTGCAACGTGTAAAGTTTTTACATGAACTAGAACAACTTTGATTAATGATCGCCTAGCCTACGGAATTAGATGAACCTGAAACATTGTGACCTCCAAATTAATATATATTCAGATACCCATGGGAACATTTAGCCCTGAATATATTGTCAATAACATTTATTAAGCTAAGCAATACACATTACCAAATCAACTTGACAATTAAAAACAAAACTACTTCTTTATACTGTCATGTTTTAATTTGTCTTTCAAATAGGGACAAGATTATATTTAATACACATAAATACATATATGAGGCAGAAAGGTATTAAGAGCTCAAGTTATTACCAACAGTATAGCTCAGACCTCAGACAGCTAAATTTGAACTTGCTAAATAGACCATGAGAAGACCATAGACAGTGAGATTAAGACTAAAATGTATTTTATATATAAAATTCACACATTTTTAACTTTTTAATAAAAATTGTACATTTGTCTCTTTTTATCATGGCACTGTAATTTGCTCATAATGACTAAACTGAAAAAGAAATACAAAAAAGTCCTACTAGGTCCTTTGCTTGTCATAGTTTATAAAATATTGGTTAACTTCATATTTGTGACATTATATTGTGCTTGCTGTATATGTCATTTGTCCCCTTAAATATATTAAACAAGAAGTTATAATTAAGGCACTATGCTGTTGATAAAAATGTTAATTCACCAAAATGTTTTAATTCTTTTATTGTTTATTCACACCCATTAACATTTGTGATTAAAAACCTAAATGATATCCATTCATTATAGAAAATGATTAAGTCTTTCAGAAAACGTGTATTAAACTGCCAGACCCCATTCATTATGTACTCTTTTAACCAAAAAAAGTCTCAAATATCTTATAGATTTTGAAAGACAGAAGTTTGAGTAAACTATAAGAGAATTTTCATTTTGAGATGAACATTAGTATTCATAGTCTAAAATATTAGCATTAAATACAAAAAAAACTGATTAAACATTAAAAGACAAGTTAGAAATATAAAAAAATAGTTACCCACTTAATCTAACAGTAAGAATTGTCTGCATTTTTAATAAGATTACACTCTTCATGTGAGTATTAATCACAATAGCATATTTGTATTAGTCTGAAACCTCATTCTCATCTATTTTTCTGAAAGCATCTGAAGTTACAAATCATGTTGAGGTAGGACAGAGACACCTGCAGACCAATGAGGGGAATCCCACTACAACTGTAAACCATTTCCTAGTGAAACAGCTTTCTTTTAGATAGCAGCAAGTGTGCTTTTGTAATTATAACTTAATGTAATGACTTGCTATAATTAACTTAAACTAAATCCCACACAGGGATTTTTCTACACTCTTAGCCTGACATATATGGGTGTCTAACTGCATTCTAACAGGCTTAAAGGGATAGTTGACCCAAAAATGTACATTTCTTCACAATTACTCGCTCAAGTGGTTTTAAAGTATAAATGAAATCAAAACTAACCATATGATTTTGTTAGCTCACATTGCCAGTTTTGTGCTGAACAATTAATCTGTGTATGTCAATGTCATCAAATAGTTTGCTCTTGTAATCTAACTTTTAAATCTAAAAATGCACTTCCTGTTTTTTGTTTTCTGTTAAATTCTCAGACTACATGATTTTGATTTTTTTGGGCATGGTTAAAATTTTACCACACCCCTCCAAACTGTCGGTTTTGACAACAAACAGAAATGGTGTGGAGGAGGTGTCTGTTAGGTTGTAAAAATTCTCCCCAAACCTTTTTCCTAATCTTTCTGAATGAAATGCCTACTTTATTACATCAAATCAGCTTGCAGTAGAAAAACAAGCCACGCCCACTGTTTTCTCATTTAATATTTTGTTTCTCTAGGAACTGGCTGCATCACAATATATATATATATAAAAAAAAAAAGCTGTCACAGCTTCCGTTTCATGCGGACTTTAAACATTTATGAATTTCTGACATCCGTTGAACCCAAAACAACATATTCTGAAGAATGTTGGAAATGACATTCATAGTGGGAACAAAAAAAGTCAATGGCTGCTACTTTCCAACATTCCTCAGTATATCTTTATTTGTGCTTAACATGAACTCAGAAAATGCGTAACAGACAGAATGTTCATTTTTGGGTGTTCTATCCAATTATACCACATGATTTTGTTTATTTTAAAATTCATTTGCAGTCCTGGTAAAAATGTCCTCTTTCACATTTCCTATCCACTGGTTGTTTGTCCCAGTGGATTTGTATATTCTATTCTAAAGAGTCAACAATACAGATTAATTGGTCCCTCTGTCTACACAGCAGATCACTGAAGATAGCATAAAAAAAGAGAGTGAAAATGTATCACTTTATGAAAAGGCACTGAGCAGAGAAACTGAAAGCCCTGCTTTATATAAAAGCTATTTTTGATCTTGAAAGGCACAATGTGACTCTTCATGACTGCTGTATTAATACATTCTTAGATGCAGCCAGATCTTCTACCTCTGGCCATATCCATTCATGCCATTGTTCCCGGATGGAGTGACGGTGATTGAATCCAGAAGAGGACGGAGCGCTTGTCCAAAAGGTCTGTGGAGTGAAGGGGAAAAAACAAAAACAGTTAATAATTGTAATATTACAAATAGTGTTAAAAGTGTATTTGTTTGCCATCATACGTAGAGAGCACTTCAGATGGAAGATCCGTGATGTATGAGGGAATCTTTTTTCCTGTTAAAAACTGCGCAACTTCAGCGCTGAAGGTGTTACAGTTGTGTTCAAAAAGGTGGTATTTTTCAGGTCTGTGGAAGGGGAGGAAAAACAGATTTGCGCATATAAATGGTGGCGTTTGTGTTGTGGTGGTAGTGGCAGAAAATGGAACTGCTAAATGATGACAGCTTTCACAAATATCTCTACTTTTAATAGTAAAAATATCTCATAGCAATTTCCTGTTAAATGCAAACAACAGAACTATACTGACCTATAAGTGGACTCCCCGAGCGAAGACAGATATTCCTGAAAAAGGTCCCGAGGAACTTCTGTGTTTCCTAGGTCCACTGTGGAATCAGGCATACCAAGAATAGTACAACCCTAAAACATGAAAGTACAATTAATACAACATTATTTGACATCCGTAAAATACCTAAAGTTTCTATTTCATATGCTTAAAAAATAAACTGGGTTGCACACTGAGTTTATGAATAAAAAATCCATTGGTCATTTCTTACAGGATAGCAGCTTGTAACACCTCCTCCTCCAAAGAAAAACTCTTCCCCGTAAGCCACTATTCCAGTGTGCCTTCATTAAGAAACATTCAAATAGAGACAGTTGAATTAATTTATTATTATTATTAGTATTATAATTAAAAAACACAAGCATTGGAACCAATGCGTATTTAAAGCAATAGTTCATGAAGAAATTTAAATTTACTCTCTCAGGTTGTTACAAATGCTGAAGAATGATGGCCGCCGTTGACTTCCATAGTTGGACGGCAAAGTTGGACACAAAAAATGCTTCTTGTGAAAGAGGTTTTAGAGAGGTTTTATTTGGATATTGACTATTCCTGTGATTTTTGTTCTATAGAAAAAGAATCTATTGTATCTTATTTGTATATACTCAAGGAATTTTTGGATGGATATGGAAATTTTTCCTAGAAGGAAAACCAATATTATATTCAAATAACAACAAGATTTTGATATTTGCATTTATTATGTCAATATTTGTAACAAATGTACATTCCTTGTACATCTTTTTACTATTTTTGGAAAGTTTTGTATACATAAAAAATGGACTGGATCAAAGCCAAATTTAGTTCATTTTCATTAAGGGACTAAGGACTACTGCACAAGTTTGGAGAACATTGTAATAAAAAAGCAAGGAAGACTTATAATATTCTTCAGGAATAAAACATTTTTAATTATTGAATGTATGTACACTCTGGCATATGCATTTTTGTATATTACTGTATAATTCTGATTCTTTTTGTTAATAAAAAATGCTAAATGAAATGCAAGTCATTGGTTAGTTTAAAGTGTTAACAAATTATTACAAATATATTTTTTAACAGAAGAAAATAAATGGTTATATTATGTTCACTTTTAGATGAACTATTGCTTTCGTTTATAAAACGTGCAACAAACAGAAGAAGAAAAGTACTCACCATATTCCCTCGACTGTCTTTCCTGTAAGTTTAGATGTAAAAAAGCAAAGTTTTTCGATGATTTATTTGCATATTTCAATAGGGAAAATACATATTTGTGCTCTACAGTGTATAAATACTTTTTAGTGACACAAAACATGAGCTATTCTAGAAGCATCCTTAACCAACTTCCCAGAATAAACATTAGCTAACAGTTGGAGAACTCACCTAACATCATGGGGCTCAGCTGACGGGCCAGTCCTTTTGACAGGTCATAAACGTACAGCTGAACGGTGTAAGAACTTCCATTAGCCATGGCAACTGATTCAGAACAAAGTGTTGTTTACAAACAAAAACGCAACGCTACTGTAAACAAACGTAAATCTATCTTGAGTTTTCGACTCGAAAAAGGCAGACTTCACTGTTTTGGTGTCTCAAAGTCTCATTATCACACATCCATAAAACGAACACAAAGTATTTTAACAAATTATCCTAACCACGAAAGTTTGACAGGTCCAACGCGGTGTTCAGCATTCGTTTGGCAACAGTGACTCGAGATATTTGGACACCGGTTATGACAAATGTGCTTATTCACTGGGGCTCGACCAATTGTAGCGCAGATATATTACCAACATCTGTAAAACTAATAACATCCACAACGCTAGATGGCGAACTTTATGAAAACAAGCATGACGGTGTTTACACTTACTAGCCGAATCAACCGGTGAGCCGAATGCCTGAAGCTAATTCGTTTGAACGGTTCTTTTCAATAAATCGGATCAAAAACGAGATTCAGTCAATTCTGGTGACATGGACTAAAACTTTTAGGCACAGTTTCACAAACAGGGCTTAGATTAAGCGAGGACTAGGCCTTAGTTAAATAAGTCTATTTAAGCCAAATATTTAAAAAATGGCCTTAGAAAAATATTTTATTAAATAACTGCTGTGCACCTGGAGAAAAAAAATGACACGTGTATTTTAAGACATCTTACTGCAAGTTATTTTGAGTTGAGACAGTTCAATCTTGCAATTTAATCTTTACTAGTCTTAAACATTGTTTTTGAAACTGGGGGTATAATTGAAGAAATAGATGATGAGTGTTGCTGTTTTGTGAATTAAAGAGTTTGTTTGCAGTCATGCGCAGTTCTTAATCACTAGATCTGGATTAACCAGGGATTAAAAATTAACCAGGACCATCTCGCTTCCATTTTACTCCAGATGTTCATCTATTAAACGTTCAGGTTCGCGGGGGAATGTTTTCGGTTCACTCGAGACAAAATTGAGGGTGAGAATCCGATTCATGAAGTTCGAAATGTTTTGGGAATCGCTTCAAACCATACATAACAAATCCGAAAGCTATTCGTTCACGTTTACTAGTTATATATATGTTTTAGTTATATCAAATCCTGTCTTTACTGTGTGAAATTGTTCTGTTTACTTCCGCGTATTTGGATTGACCAGTCACTTTGCTCCTGTGTCCCAATTGGTGAGTGCCTTTCAAAAGTCGTCTCTGATAGGATCGTGGAGCTGTCACTCAACTTATGGCGCATTGACTGGTTGCATGCACGCACGGTCGTGAAGGGATACAAAGTTCTCTAGCTAGCGCAAAAGAGAAGAGTGGTTTATAGTTAGTGTAACGTTAATACATTTTGATTTGTTTTACTTAAACTGTTTGTGAAAGTAACTCTGACTCGAATCTAAGGTAAAACTAAGAGTAACTTTAATGGCGAACTGGGGAAATTACTTTCCAAACGAAGACGATGTGGATGAGCAGGATGAAGAAGAGTCTGGAGGTTAGCCTAGCCATCTTAATTGATTTATTGAACCCGTATGAAATAAACGTTTGTTCTTCATTAAACGTGCATAGATCAAACGAACATCTGATTAAACGTGTACCTTTTTAATTAAAAGGCGATTACAAAAGCAGCGGCCGTGACAGCTTGGTGTTTTTGGTTGATGCATCCAAAGAGATGTTCATCAAAGGGGAGAATGGAGAGCCATCAAATTTTGACATGACTATGCAGGTGAGCCTAAAAAGTTTAACTGTATTCATATGTTGCTACAATATTGTATTCCCATACATGCCTAATAAATATATTTGTCTTTGTGTCTAGTGTGTGCGCAGTGTGTACACTAGTAAGATCATAAGCAGTGACAGAGACCTGGTTGCTTTGGTGTTTTATGGGACTGAGCAGAGCAAGAACCCCAGAAACTCCTTCAAGCATGTTTACGTCTACCACGACTTGGAGTCCCCTGGTCAGTAATTAACTATTTATTCAACTTAGACTACATTTTTGATGGTGAATCTACCTCATATACTGATTCGCTTCTCAGGAGCAAAACGTGTACAGGATATTGATAAACTGAAAGGTGATAAAGGTGGTCAGTTTGCTGAAAAGACCATGGGCAGTGGGGAAACTTCTCTCGGAGAGGCTCTGTGGTGCTGTTCCAACCTTTACAGTGACATCAAGTTGCGACTGTCACACAAGCGCCTCATGATATTCACATGCAGGGATGAGCCTCATGGAGGAGACAGTGCAAAAGACAGACAGGCTCGTACAAAGGCTGCTGACCTAAAAGAGACAGGTAAGGATATTAAGAGGAAAATAAAACATTTCTTTTTGTTTTAACTGTGAATAAATGATAAACTGTTCTGTGTGTTCTTCAGGTGTAGCCATTGACTTGATGCACCTCTCAAAGCCTGGAGGGTTTGATGTTTCACTGTTCTTTTGCGATATTGTAAGTCCTCCAGAAGATGAAAGTGATCTCGGCCTTCAGATTGAGCCCTGCAGGAAACTGGAGGACCTGCAGAAGAGAGTCAGAGCAAAAGAGTTAAAGAAAAGAGCTCAATGCAGGTAAATACTCTGCAAATGTTTGGTAATTTTCCACTTGCATGTCTAATTGTAGTATATAGTGTTGTGGACATGCACATTATTGCAGGGATACGCTGTTTTGTATTAAAAACTGTTTAAATGGCATTTCACAAGAAGATAAAGAAAAGTCTAATTTTTATATATTTTCAATCATTTATTTTTCCATTCTGCAATATTTAGGATCTACACAACAATGACAATTGTTTATTGTCAGTCACTTTGCAAAAAAAACATATCTTGAGATTCCAGAAGTATTTACTGTGTAATAAAGCCTTTATAATTCCAGTAGTCCTGGCATGATAACCGGTTTCAAGGTTTACCGCTGTCTTGAAATGTCAAGGTTTTAAAAACGCCAGAATCTTCTGTTATTAAATCACTTTTATTGTCAAATCATCAGCAGATCGTGTGCTATGATGATTGAAAAGCTAAGCTTTAGCTTTTTAGAGTGAAAAGCTTATACATATACGGTATATGTAAAGTACAGCTTTTTACTATTTTATTTATCTATTTATCTATCTATTTTATTTAGTTTTTTAGGGCAACAGTATCTCCAGCAGAGAAGGGCTCACCACATCAAAAGCTACTGTTACAAAATATATTTTTAACAAAATATGTTGTGTTCAATAGGTGAAAAAGTAATGACAAAAAGTTATTTTAAAAACATATTTTAGAAATAGTAATCTTTTTTTAAGCTTTGATATTTTTATTTAAGGTTATCATATTGTCACAGTCTTATACCGACCCATACCTAAATTCCAGTCAAACAATATTATTCTGTAGTTTGTTTTTGTTTTGTTTTTTGTTTCCGTATACAGTTCATACAACAACTCATTAAAAAACATTCAGTAATTTATACCTCTGTTAATGTGTTTTCAAGGTTAACGTTCTCCCTTGGAGAAGGTGTCGATCTGGCTGTTGGCGTATACGTGTTGGCCAGGACTGCTATGAAGCCTTCTGCTGTCAAACTTTACAGAGATAATAATGAACCTGTACGGACTAAATCCCGTCTCTTCCACACTCAAACTGGTGGCATTTTATTACCAAATGATACAAAGAGGGCACAGGTAAAGCACCTCGAAACAAAATCATTACTATAACAACATTTTAAATTGCTAAATGTGCCTCTAATTTAACAGTAACTTGTTAAATTAACTTGCTTATGAAGGTTTATGGGCAGAAGCAGATTGTGATGGAAAAGGATGAGGTGGATGAGATAAAGAAGTTTGATGATCCAGGATTGGTACTGATTGGATTTAAGCCTATAGATCGCCTCAAACTGCACCATCATTTACGACCTGCTCTTTTCATATACCCTGAGGAGGAGCAGATATCAGGCAGGTTTTCATTTGTTACTGTCATTCATTTGTTGAGACATTTAAGGTCTAATGAAATAAATAAATAAATATATATATATATATATATATATATATATTTCTTTTTTAATCTGTATTGTTAGTTTTTAGGCTATCTAAAAGCTAAAGCGCTCCAGAACAGTGACAAAATTCACTTTTGGGAGATATAAAGCCGATATAAGCCTGTAAAGCTTGTAGTTTGTCACTTCCGGATGAATGGTTTTATTCATTTCACCTATTTCTCTACCAGTTAATACCAATCAAATGGTCTCTAGTACCTGACATGCCCTGCCCCCTTTCAAAACACTTCTCATTTGATGTGCTTGTGCCATACCACTGTCAATAGCAGAGTGGGGATAGAACAAAATGCTATTGACTTTTTTTTAAAAGGGGAGGGGCTACACTGTCCCATTCTTTGATTATGTCAAACCTCGAATAAAAAAGCACATTTCATAGCACTTCACAGGACCTTTAATACCTCTTTCAGATCAACCCAGATGATTTCTTAAAATATGGTTTTTGCCATATTTCACAAAACTAATGTGACACTCTTTGCTTCTCTCGTTTACTACAGGAAGCTCCTGTATGTTTACAGCTCTGCTTTTGAAGTGCTGTGAAAAAAATGTATTTGCATTGTGCAAATACATCCCTCGTCGTAACACTCCACCTCGGTTTGTGGCACTAGTGCCCCAGAGAGAAGAACTGGATCAGAGTCAAACCCAGGCAACACCTCCAGGTAACAGCAATCCAAAGTGTTATGCCTATTTAAACTCATGTTTTAGTGCTAAATTTATCTTGAAAAAAAAACTTGTTTATTTGTTTGAACAGTTTTAAAATGTATTCTAATACTTCTGTCATTATTACTAATATGCAAAATTTATTTTAATATCAAATAGTAGTATCAAATCTTTCTTTTTTTCCAGGCTTCCATGTGATTTATCTTCCCTTTGCTGATGACATACGCACTGTGGACCCTCACGTTGGTCCCACAGCCTCGGATGAGCAGGTAGACAAAATGAAAGAGATCGTGCACAAGCTCCGCTTTAAATACAGGTTTGTGGTTTTATACCAATCAAACAAACTATAGGCTGTTTATTGGTGATTCATCTATAAGTCATGCTCTGTATTTACAGGAGTGATGCATTTGAAAACCCAGTGCTGCAACAGCACTACAGTAATCTGGAGGCTTTGGCTCTGGATATGCTTTCACCTGAACCCATTGAGGATTTGACAAGTATTTCTTGTTGTTTAAAGGGAAAAATTAGTATTTTTTTTATCCTATTGCTGTCTTAGATTCTTTATGTTTCTTCAGTGCCAAAGGTAAAAATGATGGACGATCGGCTTGGTCCGCTGGTTCAAGAGTTCAAAGATTTGGTCTATCCTCCTGATTATAACCCAGAAGGGAAACCTGCAGCTAAACGCAAACCTGGTAAGATTTCAGATTATGCTATTTTAATTTTTTTTTTTAAGTCTGGGACGCACCAAGTCAACAGTCAGCCATTGGTCAGTGACAGGCCATCAGTCTGTCAGGCTAGTTTGTTTAGTGTGTTCCCCATGTTGCTTCTAGCTAGACTTGCTTTAGTAGATAGTTTGCCTGATTCATTACATAGAATTGCTGTTGTCCATTGATGAAAGAAAGTGCTCTGATTGGCTTTTCAGCTATGAATCAGTGTGCAAGAGCAAAACCTCATTAACAAAACTAGACAAACTATGCAACTCAGGAAGGAACACAATGTGATTAGGAATGCTGTGTGAATAACTAATAATTACTTTTACACCTTTTAACAGTCATTTTAAAGTTGTCATTAACAGACTCTTGACTAAAAAAATTTCTGACAGCTGAATCTGGTGGTGGTGCTGCTGAAAAGAAGGCCAAAGTTGAGATTTCCGAAGAAGAGCTGAAAATTCATGTCGCAAAAGGCACTTTGGGAAAACTGACAGTGCCTGTACTAAAAGATGCATGCAAACAGTTTAATATACGTACAACAGGAACCAAGAAACAGGAGCTTATCGATGCCCTGACCATGCAGCTCTCTAAATGAGCCAATGTTATTAAGGCATTGCTTGTCGCCTTGATCACATGCTTGTTTAAACGATAAAAGCAGAATAGTTGGTATGTTTTACAATACATCTTTTAAGCGAATATCATTCTCACATTCTGTCTTGCCTGGTGTCACATAATTCTGTTCAGCATTGTGACTGTTGTCATAGATTCAATAAATGCTTGAAATTTGTAGCTTTGATGATATTCATTGGCATTATTTCACTTTATTTCTTCAACATTTGCATTGATATATTTTAATACATGACAGATATATGCATTATATTTTAGTGTATTTTAAAATGCTCATAATCTAATTAGTAAACGTTTTATGTATTACATATTTACACAGTTCCTGTGAATTAATCCTAATCGATTTTCTTTTGAAATAAAAATACTTAATAAAAAAGTGAGTATTTTAATACATAAACAACAAGTTCAGTAAATTAGTTCATGGTCACATTGTAGAAAATATCTATATCTAAAATATGTTCTTATTTGTGTCAATTTTATGTGTTCCAATAAATGTTTATTTTACGTTTTTGATTTTATGCAATGTTACCTTTTAATCAATTCAAAAGCTTAAGTGGTTCTTAAATTAACCATATTTTGCCAATTTAATGCAATTTTAATGTTTGTATGATGAAAATCACACAGTGAAAATTAGGACAGTAAGTCTGAATTTGCTTAAAAGTTGTCACTTAACAGAAATAATGTACAGTATGAAATATAAAGTCCTGGTGCAGTGAAATAATAATTAATATTTTATGACACCCATGAGCTTGGAAAACTGCATTCATACATCTCTGCAATGACTCAAGTAGTTTATTAATAAAGTCATCTGGAATGGCAAAGAAAGCGCTCTCGCAGGATTCCCTGAGATCATTAAGATTCTATGGATTCATCTTTAATGCTTCCTCCATCTTACCCCAGGCATGCTCTATCATGTTCATATATGGTGACTGGGGTGGCCAATCCTGGAGCACCTTGACCTTTTTTGCTTTCAGGAACTTTGATGTGGAGGCTGAAATATGAGGGTGCTATCTCTGAAGAATTTGCCCTCTCCTGTGGTTTGTTATGTAATGGGCCGCACAAATGTCTTGATACTTCAGGCTGTTGATACAGTATTGCCATCTCTCACATGATCCTATGCTGAATGTAACCCCAAATCAGGATTTTTTCCTTCACCAAATTTGATGGATTTCTGTGTGAATCTTGGGTCCATGCGGGTTCCAATAGGTCTTCTGCAGCATTTGTGATGATTGGAAAGCAGTTCAACATCGGAAAAATTTACCTTTTGCCACTTTTCCAAACGATCAACTAGAAATCATATTGTTATTTGTTGCTCTTACACCTGAGATTGACGACAAGACTTTTTTCAGAAAGTGTAGTGTCTTTTTTATATTAATGTTATGTTGGATTTTGGGATGTTTGGATTTTTTTAAAAAATTACATGGATAGTTATTTCCAAAATGCTAACTTCCTCAACATTTAAGTGCTTCTAAATTTTTCTGAATTTCTATAAATGTTGATGTGAAAAACAAATATTTTTAGGAATGTTGAAATAAATTCTGGTTATTTTGTCCTTCCTATAGATGTCAGTGGCTGCTTTTTCCCAACATTCTTCGGAATATCTTGTTTTGTGTCTAACAGAAGAAAGTTATGTTGTATACATAAAGTGTGTAATTACTTAAGTGTGAGTAAACGGTAAGTAAATTTAAATTTTGGGGAACTATTGCTTCAAAAAAGTAGTCTAAAAACGATCTTTACCTCAAATTAGTAGCATAGATACGTTCCTCACTACAGTTTTCACTATGCAATCTTTAATCAATAACAAATCAGTTATTAAGTAACGTTAATCTACCAAGGCCAGCACACATACAGATTCAATCTCCATGTTTTCTAGCTGGTTTCTAGAACATATGGAGTGAAGTGATCAGGCTCTGTCATTTGTTTTCTCATTAGCACTGAATGAAAACAAACAGTAGGTCACTCGCCACAGATGTTTAACATTACAGCAAGTCAACATGTACAGTAGATGTCTGGATCTTATTTTCAGCTAAAACAGTAAAACACAAACGTTCGGGTTGTTTACACAGCCCAGAATAGATCAAACAAAATACCTAAGAAAAAAACATATCTTATTAATGTCCTAATGTGGGGCATGAGACGTGTTTGACAGTCCCATGGGATGCAACCTGCTCGTGACGCAAGCCGACGGAAAGCCAATGACGTTTTGCGCATGCTCACGTTGAGCCAGAGAGCTGCAAGGAAAAAGTACAAGAGACAAAGGAATAAACAACTCAAGGAGTGGACGCGAAAACACTAACTCAGAGGAACGAACACAGTAAAGACAGTCACACATCGTACGCACACAGAGGTATGTCTTGTGAACGAGTAGATACACGGAGACTTTGAAAGCTGTCGTTTTGTCCGTTGCTATCAAACGAGTAGCACGTAGCCAGAGTGTCAGTTTGGCTTGAACGCAGTAGTTATGCCATGTCTCGATATATTTTAAACTCGTGTACCAAGTGTTACATGTCATTTTTAGCCGGTAATGTGTGATACACACCCATCCAGTCAGCTGGCAGGAAGTTTTATACACCCCTTCCCAATGCAGTAATCCTGGGCACTAATGTACTGCACATTAGCCTTCTGCGTGTCAAAAGCCTTCGTGTTTGGACCTGTCTTTCCGTTAAATGTTTATTAATGTTCAACATTGGAATATTTTCTAGTAAGCAGTTTCTTCTTGTTGTTTGTTCCATATTTCAGACCTGACGGTGGTCTACCATGGCATTTGCTAGGGTCCCGTACTGCTGACCCATTTATTCCCAGTCAAGCTGTAAGTCCTTTCCACCCTGATGTCAGCCAAAACGGAAAAAACTTCTCTGCCCTAGTGGTTACTATGGTGCTCGGAGAGTCTTTGTGTGCAATAAAAACAACATGATGAGCACAGAAAGAGGACACAAACGATTCTGGCTCTAAGAAGATACATCTGTCTCTATTTGTGGATTTCTTAATTTTTTTCACTAATTCAGGTGCACTGGCTCACATTTCATCACATTAGCAGCCTCCCCTCCCCTTGCCACTCATCCCGAGCAGCTGAGAAGGTTGCTTTGGAGATGATAGTGGTGACATAGCAGCAGGAATGGGGAGTACTCCATGTTCTGGTAAGGGGAGGGGGGTCGGGGGCTTTCAGGAGTTGGGTTGTATGCCATGGAAGGTCAGCAAGCAAAAAGGAGAAGCCTTAGGTGGACGTGGGTCCGAGCTGGAGGACAGGCCGAATGCTGGAATGCCCCCCACCTCGTTGCAACCTCCTGCAATTTATCATGAAAAGCAGCATCGGGAGTTGTGTGCTCTGCATGCGCTAAACAATGTCTTCCAGGATGGAGCGGCGTTCAGTCGTGATGCACTTCAGGACATCTACCAGAGGTCAGTTCAGTGATGATGCATCGTTAATGAAGTGGTCAAATGTTGGACTTTTTTTTGTTTGTTTGTTTTAAATCACACTTCTGCTTCCTCTTTCTTTTTACAGGCTCTCTCCTAGCACTTTGGTCACACCCCACAAGAAAAACATGCTGGGTAATGGCAACTATGACGTGAATGTCATCATGGCTGCATTGCAGACTCGTGGATTTGAGGCAGTTTGGTGGGACAAGAGAAGGTACTTGTGCTGGGCTGTCAGCAGAACAAAAAAGGGCTTGTTTTCATAAAGGGACACATTTAGGATTTAAAAATTGACATTCATCAATTTAATTAAATTCATTTTTATTTCTAAAGTGCTTTTCACAATGTATATTGTGTCAAAGCAGCTTAACACAGACCAATACAAGTCTGCAAGTACTGTATAACATCACAACAACAAACCAAAAAAATAGTCAAACCAAAAATTACACCTTAACTTATTTTCATAGTTTTTGTACATTTTAAGCTTTTCATATCTAACAACACCATAAAAAGATGAAAAAGTTTAGATGTGTAGCTAGCATACTAAAGGTCAGAACTCAACGGTACATTTGTTAAAGATAGAGTCCCCAAGGGAAATCTTTTGACAAATTTTCTTCTGTCGGTGGAGTTTTGCTTGATGAACATAACTGCATGTTGACCACCAAAATTTGATGTTCAGAATAAACTGAATAAATTATACTAATGCTGCATACTGTAGCTTATTGTAATTGTAGCAAGCTGCTTATTGCGATAAACATGAAACAAAAGAATATAATGTCAAAGGGTTAGGTTTTGCAAAAAATAAATTAATCCCAATTTACTCTCCCTTGAGGCATCCTAGATGTTTATGATTTTATTCTTTCAGGAAAATTTTGTCAATTTTATTCATTAATTTTTTTATTGGTATTTAGTATTATATATTGAGTTTGAAGTGCAGGCACATTTGAAACAAAAGCAGGACTGCAGTGAACAGACAGTCAGTTGTTGTCTGGCTGATGGTGTTAAATGTACCTTAAAAGGAGAAAACGACAGCTGCCGCTTGCCAAAAGTTACACAAAACTATTTGTAAAGTGTAAATATGGATATTTTTCTTTACAAAAATGCATGGATTACCTACAAGAGACATTTTTTACACCCTAGAGCTGTATAATACATTTTTATTATGGACGAATGTGCTTTATTTGGCTTCTTCTGCACTGCCAGTAAAACTGCTGAATAGTTTCAAAAATCAACTAAAAGAAGAAAGTCGTATACGTCTAGGATGCCTAGAGAGGGTGGGTAAATTATGAGGGAAAAAAAAACATATATACAAGTGGCAGAGCAAAAAAAAAGAAACAAAAGGTAAATTAACAGTGTTTTAGGGTTTTCTGGGGAGTCTACCATTATTGAAGTATAGAAATGAACAATCAAATGTAAAAACATGGTTATTTTTGTGTAAATTGTTTACAAAAATATAAAGTAATATGTAATACAGGATATCCTCAGGGTCTTACAAAGTCTTAAAATTTCTTAAATTTCAAAAACTAAATTTTTGGCCGTAAGTCTGAAATTGACTGAAATATTCCCTTGTAGGTCTAAATTAATTTTAAACGATCTTTTTGAACGGGTCTCCTTTGTTTATGCAAAGCTACCCAATCAATCCAACACCCATCCAGTCACAAACAAACACTTCTGAATAAAACTTTTAAGAACAGTTTATTGTGCTTTTTTATGAGTTTTTTATGTTGTTATGATGTTTGGTATGTTCTGCTCTGTTGACACTATTTATATATGTGGCTAAGATGTTGCTAAGAAATAAAACTAAATAGAATTATAGGCAATCATTTTAGATATGGCAAGTCATTTTTTTTTTCTCTTAATGGCCATTAAAAAATCTTTAGCGTTTAGCCCTGTATAAGTCTGGAATGTTATTCTTTATGGTCTTAAATTAGGTCAAAAATTAGACTTTGTGAAACCAGCAGAAACCCTGTTATAATATATTTATCCTTTAATCATTAATAACTAATCAAATCCCTTGATGTGACTTATGCAGATACACAGATTGCAATATTGATGCTCAAATGATATATTGTTCAGCCTTACTTGGTGTCTAATATGCATGTTAAATATAAATATTCTGTAAATACAGAAAATTCTGTTTACAGTTAATTTTTTGAAAACAAATGTCCTTGTGTAAATTTGCTTTTTCTAGGGAGTTCATCCTTGCCAGCAGGCATGTGATTTATAAAGTTGAGGAATTTAATCAATTAATTAATTAGAAACTAGTAATAAACAGATTAAGACAGGATAAATACCAAAAGATTAAAAAAATATTCTCAACCTATTTGAAAAAGAATGGGTAGAAGCCCTGCTTTTTTTTCAGGCTTATGTTCTTTACAGAAGTGGAGTAAAAATTTTCTTTACATTCTTGAATCTGAAAATCTAGACAAGGATTGTCTGACCACTTTTTCTATGTTCTTTGTTCCAGAAGGTTTTTTATTAATATATATATATTTTTTAAGGCTTCCTAAAGGCCATGTGCCAATGAGATCAATCACATTGTTACAAAATTTGAAGCAGAAAAGCATATGAAAATCGTTCAAAAGACAGAAGTGCAAGTCTGTGTTGTTTATTTTTATGGACTTTTTTTCACAAATGAGTTATGACACCTGTTTACTTGGTGTATTATATCATTTTTGCATCAAATTACAAAAGCAAATTATTCATCGCTTATGCAAGGTTTCTAATGATGTTGTTTTCTCTTATGGCTGCTGTTATCAGTCTCTCACTATTTTTACTTTATTTCTGAAAGTCTTGATAACACTATTGTTGAGGTTTTCTTTTATTATTTGAATACATAGTAAAAAATAGTTTTGTACTGGCCTATTCACTTAATCTTCGATTTCCGCTGAAATCTGGAAATGTGAAGGTTACCATTTAAGGTAAAGTACAACAATACCTGTCAAAATAAAACCAACAGACAATTGCAAAATATTTCATCTTAAAAATGAAAAACAATTGCTGTGCTTCATGAGCAAGGGCTAGCCTGCAGATCGGTTTTGGTCTGTTTTACACAATTTTTGCAAAGTTTTTTATTGGTGGAATTTTCAGCACAGCATGATAAGCATAATTGATTTGAAAAAAATTACAAGGTAATTATACAACTAGGTATTAATTATTAGTATTCTAACATTTTGGCGACATTTTTGAGTTACTCCACCACATTATATAGCCTCATCTAACCTTGCCTCATTGTAAAAGGTAAAATTATTTGATATTTTAAAAGACTTATTAACCTTTACACACAGTCACAAGAGACTGCTTGGTTCCTCTTTGAGATATTATTTCTTGTCTTACGAGTATGACTTAATGTCGGACACTTTTTGTCTGCCTCATTAAAGCAGTGATCACATTAACTGTTAGGGAAAGGATTGCAATATTTGGAATATGCCACTCTAATTTAATTGATAATAAAAATGCATTTGTTTCACATTCCACATGACCACAGGGATTAAAGGGCTTGTTTATTTAAATTTAAACAATTAAAATGTATTTAATAATTATTTTTTTTATTCACCTTCTTGCCTTTCCAAATCTGTTTGTCTTCTGTGGCACAAAAATAAAATAATATCGATCAGCATTCTTAAAAATATCTTATGTTCTAAAGTCCTGCATCTTTGGTGAAGGTAAGTTATTAGCAGTGTTAGGGAAGGTCTTGCATTAGTTCTTCAAAACAACTGACTAAATATGCTACATGGTAACTCTTTAGGACAAGTAATGTGTTGCTTACTTCTTTATTACATTTGTGTAAATTATTATTATTTTGTTTCTAAGCAAGGCTTACTTATTTTAAATAACATATTAAAAATGTATGTATGTTTTTGAAAAATGTAAAGCCCTGTATTGACCAAAGTAAAAAGTGAAGTGAATAGATCTCAACAAGTCTGTACAGTTGAGGGCACAGCTCAAACAAAACTTTTAGGATTGTATAAAGAAAATGGTGCATGGAGGAAAAGTTTAACACTCTTCAACATTTAATATCCTGAGTTTGCATTTTACAGTTTTTATTGATTTTAAGGCTGCTTAAAAATGCAGAATCTGTTTTTGTGCAGGTGAGATGATATGAGTAAATGAACACAATTAAGCTAGAACTACAGTCTACTCTCTCCTGTTATCTCTCAACATAGGAAAACAAAGTAATTAGCTTTTCTTTTTTGAAGTAGTAACTTCAGTTTTTTCTTGTAAATAAAAAACCAATGCATTACTTTATTAGTGACTTGAAAAAGTAATCTAATTTTGTAACTTGTGTAATGATGACAGAAGTGTCATTTTGGGGTGCTTTATTTGTATGCCCCAAAAATTAAAAACAATTTCTATCTAGGAGATGTGGTAGGGACGTTTGATCTATCATTTGCATTTTTTAAGTATTTTTGATTAAAGGCTCATGTTGTGCCTTTATGCATTTTCAGTTTCCGTTAGTTTTTGATGTTTCTTTTTTTACGCTCGTTACAAAACATAAAGTCCACTCAAATTAAAATTATTCTCTATGTCAGTAGCATCAGTGCCAGATCATTTGCACACATAAGGTTGCAGCACATTTTTGCTACCAACCAAAAATCAAATAGATCTTTAAAGTATTTTGAGCTGCAACTTTTTGTAACAAGGTTGCTGTAATAAACTATCAATGGGCCATTCATTTTGTTATATTATATGTTTGTTATCCCATAGGGACGTCGGTAGCATTGCACTACCAAACGTCACTGGTTTCATCTTGAATGTGCCATCCAATTTGCGCTGGGGCCCATTGCGTCTGCCCCTCAAGCGGCAGCACTGGATTGGTGTGCGAGAAGTGGCAGGAGTTTACTATAACCTAGACTCTAAACTGCGCAGCCCTCATGCCATTGGAACAGCTGATGAACTGAGGTAAGTGTGCAATCCTCAAGAAGAAAATAGCAGAGGGTTTAAATGGAAAAATGTCTTTGATCTCCAGCTGACGTTCTGATCACTTCGCAGGAAGTTCTTGCGTCACCAGCTTCGAGGGAAGAACTGTGAACTCCTGTTGGTCGTCTCAGAGGAGGTGGAAGTGCATCAGACATGGAAGTCTGATAACTGATGAATGTTTTGGACCTTTTTTTTTTAGTTTTTGTTAATTTTTTGGAGGTTTCTCAAGTCCATGCTCAGGAGGGAAATATGAGGTTCAATCAGGGACCCATTTAAGGAGCAAATAGAGTTGCACTCAAACCAGTCATGAAAGCACACTGCTCAGACTTTGTTTACACACACACACCACTGGACTCTCGCTATGGAGACTGAAGAAACACAGGACACACACAGGGATACAAAAAGACAACTAAACACTACGCTGAGGAACTAGTTTGGTATTTGGGATTCTGATGCATTTTTTATACATTGATTATTTCTTTTACTTTATACTGTGTTCTGACTTGAAAGCGAGAGGTTCTGGAATTGTTCGTGATGTGTTCTCCTTGTGCATCACTCCTCATCCTCACTTCTCTCTTTCTACGTGATTTCCTGTGCATCCATGTGATTGTTCAAAATGTCTGCCACCAAAAACAAAAGGTATTTGTCCCACCAACTGGGTTTGTTTAACAGGGCTGCATATGTACTTATTTAGTGCATGTACTTGAAGATTTAGAAAAGGAACACCAGTAGCCCCTGTTTAACGGTTCTCTACATATTTAATGGCATAGTGACAGATGAGAAGTTTCCTGTGTATCACAGTACAGCATGGCACCACAGTAATTGGATGTTTTGTGTTAGTTTCCTGTTAACATCTGTTACCTAAATGGTCACTTATTAATCTCTTACCCTAAATGAATGCTCTCAACGTTCTTTCTTGTAAACAGTTAAAGGAATACTTCACTTGTTTTGGAAAATGTTTATTTTACACCTCCTCTAGACTTAAAATAGTTGAGTTACATTTCATTTTTAAACCCATTCAGCCGATCTCTGGAAGCACTTTTAGCTTAGCTTAGCATAGTTCATTGAATCGGATTAGACCAATAGCATTTCTCTCAAAAATGTCGGAAAAGTATCAATTTTCCTATTTAAAGCTTTACTCTTCTTTGGTTGCACTGACTGATCACTAACGGAAAATGAAAAGTTTGTTGTTTTTTTGGTTGATATGGCTAGGAACTATACTCCTGATAGAGCAGCAAAGTTTCTCAATTATTACACCAGACTGAGGTTATAGTTCATAGCCATTTTGCCCTGTAAAGTAAACAGCAACAATAGTAACTAGAGAAGAGTCAAGCTTTAAATAGGAAAATTATCAAAACTAGTTTTTTAAAGCGAGATGCTAATGGTCTAATCGGGTTCAATGATCTATGCGAAGCTATAAGTGCTCCCGCCCAGACCCAGAGATCAACTGAATGGATAAAAATGTGTCTTGATTGTTTATCTCTAGGTGACTTGTAAAATGAGCCTATTTTTAAAAAGGTGAAGTGTTCCTTTAAAGTTAGACTTGTTGAATCCTAGACTACATGTAGGAAAATCGAACTGCTTTTGAGTGTTGGTAGTAGGAGAAAAATGTCAGATGCCAAAAACTGTTATTAAGTGGAATGTTTGTAAGTATTTTTACATAGAAAATGCTGAAGTGAGTTTGAAATTGTTCAAGTTGAATTAATCTTCGATTGACAGTGGATTAACATGGCCTTAAACTGTTTACAGAGGGAGCAGATCACACAAAGGGAAATCTAATAACACATCTCAGGTTCTCTTCAGACCCAATTCAGTTTCACTTATTAAACACTGATCTCCAACACAATGTGTAAAACACTTCAAATAGATATTACGCACTCGAATCTGATAGTACAACTTAAGAGGAACATTCCACATGTCATTCACAGGGTGCTTTGTAATACTGTAGAGATGAATAGATTCCTTTGCCATGACAATCTAAATCCCCCCACATCTCTCTCCCAGGGAGAAGGGGACAACATGTGCTCATGCCATTGTTTTTCATTCAAATAAAATGCTTATGATGGCACTTTATGTATGATGTAAAATGTGCTGTGACATCATTAAAAATGTCTTTCTATGTACACAAAGTGCTGCTGCTTTATATGTTGTTCACATCATCTTCATCAGTAGTGTTCAGTCATTTTGATGCAACAAGACCCATTATTTATTTGTTTTATGGTAATGTGTTTATTTATCTTAGCTAAAAGTTTTGGTATGTTTTCATTTTATTTTTTAAAAATGTATTCATATTAAAATTCCTTTTTTTTCATTTATTTATTTGTTATTTTTTCAAAATGCTGCTGTCCCCATAGCATTCACTGGACCCCAGTTTGAACTCCCTGATCTAAACTATCGTTCGATGGTTTTATTTTTTAGTTAAAGAAATCAGTTTACTGCATTATATTGACCAAACGTGAAAAACATCTGCACAATTAGATGATATAAAATTCAAAGATGCATCACAGTATTCCATTACAAATCAATGATATTGTTTTGTTTCTGTACTTCATTTTAAGAGAATTGTTAAAAAAAAAAACTTATCAGTGTATTCATCAAAATATTAAGCAGCTTTGATTATGATAAGGTGATGCGGTGACAGTAGGTAGTGCTTTCACATCCCAGCAAGGTCACTGGTTTGAGCCTCGGCTGGGTCAGTTGGCATTTGTGTGGAGTTTGCATGTGCTCCCGCTTTCACGTTGGTTGCCTTCTAGTGCTCTGGTTTCCCCCAAAAGTCCAAAGACATGCGGTACAGGTGCTAAAATTGTCCATAGTGTATGTGTGTGTGAGTGTGTATGGGTGTTGATGGGTTGCCGCTGGAAGGGCAGCATCTGCTGCGTAAAACATCATTCTGCTGTGGTAACCCCAGATTATTAAAGACACAAAACCATGAAGAAAATAAATTAATGATTGATAAGACTGTAAAGAAATTCATGGAATTAAAACTGAGCTTAGCCATCATGGAGTACAATACATTTTAAAAATGTATATAATAAAAAATCAGTTATTATTACACCTATTACTTTATTTTCAGGTTAACAATTTTTACATAAAGTTGAAGTCAGAATTATTAGCCTACCTGTTTATTTTTTTCCCCAATTGTTGTTTTATGAGAGAAGATTTTTTTCACACATTTCTAAACATAATAGTTTTAATAACTCATTTCTAATCACTGATGTATTTGATCTTTGCCATGATGACAGTAAATAATATTTGACTAGATATTTTTCAAGACACTTCTATACAGCTTAAAGTGACATTTAAAGGCTTAAGTTAATTAGGTTAACTATGCAGGTTAGAGTATTAGGCAAGTTATCGTATAACGAGGGTTTGTTCTGTAGACTATCAAAAAATATATATATAGCTTAATGGGCTAATAATTTGACCTTAAAAAGGTTTTAAAACTGCTTTTATTCTAGCCGAAATAAACTAAATAAGACTTTCTCCAGAAAAAAAAATATTATCAGACATACCGTGAACATTTTCTTGCTCCGTTAAACATCATTTGGGAAATATAAAAAAAAAAATTCAAATTGGAGATAATTTTGACTTCAACTATATATATATATATATATATATATATATATAGTTTATTTATTTATTTGAGATCACAGTCCATATACCATGATAATGCTACAAGTAAAGCTATCTTAATTATATTTTACCTGCTTGTGGCGTGTGCATCCGCTGTGTGACGCACGGGGGCGCGCTGCGCGCTGCAGATGTGTCGCAGATTTAAAAAGTCACTGTACTCCTCTAGTACAAGGAAATGGAGCAGTGCAAAGCATAAAAATACTGATTTGTAAACAAGGCAGCGGAAGAGCGCGAACGTGTGCAGCCATTCTAACAGTACGTGGCGTTTGCATTGTATACTTTAACGATAGCAGGGAACGCGCAAAGACACATTGACAGCTACTTCATTGTATCAAAAGAACTTAACGTTAACCGATGGAACTGTCGGCAATCGGCGAGCAAGTGTTCGCTGTGGAATCAATCACAAAGAAAAGAGTTAGGAAGGTAAGTGGCATGCGCGTGCAGCTGCTGTTAGCTGACAGTTCAGTGCCTGTTTACACACACACACATGTACGAGGGGCGAGGACACGCACACACGACCCCCTTACAACGGCGTGGAAGTGTGTGTTTGTAGTCTAATAACTTCGATGATGACGCATATCGCACAGCACGCATGAAGAATAAGCAGTTTTATTTTCCCAATTAAATAACTGAATTTAATGAAGTTTTGTCATTTAGGTTTAGAATAAGCTTTATTTTGTTGTTGACAAACGCTGCCGTGTCACTCGATTTCTTTTACATAACAGTAAAATATGCATTTTGCTTAATGTGCATTCAATAACGGTTACTTTTATGCTCTTGTAAAATTATGTCATAACTGTATTTAAATAAAAGGAGGAGCTGTTCAGGAGTCGTCCTTTCCTAATTCTTCATGACGCAAACCTATTACGTCATCCGCACACGTGAAAAAGACAAAAACAAAAGGCGCAGAATTGTGCAATCGAAAGGAGAATGTGTGGTTCTTATAAAATTCAGTTTATTGATAATTGCTGTATATATTTATTGTCTTTAGTTTTAAAGTCACGTCAAGAATTTATTAAAGCGGAACTGAGGTTTATTTGATCTTACAGTTTTTTGGTACAAGCAGCTCTTATTTACTTGTAAACAATATTAAAACCGGCTTTAAATGACAGTAATTATATTAAATTAACGTTATTTCAGAACTACATCAAAAAAGCAGCTGTCTTGCCCCGTCTTCTTAGAGGGATAGTTCACCCAAGATTCAATATCATATAATTTACTCAACCATAGTTTCAAACCTTAATCCATTTTTTTCTGTCGAACACAAAATTATGTATTTTAAAGAAAGCTGGAAATTATTGACTGTTTGTTTGTCATTGAGTATTTGTTTTTCCTACTGAGGGTCAGTGGTTACTTTCTTCAAAATATCTTCTTTTGTGTTCAACGGAAGAAGAAAAAGCTGAAAGGTTTGGAACCACTTGAGGGTGAATAAATAACAAGTACATTTGCATTTTTGGATAAACTATCCAGTCAATGATGCACACTATTGCTGCTCAATATATCGTTTCAGTATTGATATGACAGTGTGATCATTCGCCATAGAAACACCATGAGTAAAGGCAATGTTAAGTCTGGATTATAATTGATTATTTTGCAAGTGTATATTTGAGGCCTGTGAGGGTTTTAAAAGCATTCAGGCATAAGAAATTGCATCATTTTATTGAATTGTTTATCAAATAAAGCATGCCAGTATTATTTTACATTTGATTATTCAGTTACTGTATAGCTGAATACAGTTCGACTGCTTGGACAGTACAACAATAGACCACTGTTTATATAATTGATATCTTTTTTTTTTTACTGACTTTAGCTTTGCTTGTAGATCGTCTCTTTTATTTTATGCATATGCACTCCCCTACATCCCAATCAGTCTAAAATTCAACATTTATTCCAAATAATAATTCAACAAATCTGGTGAAATTGTATTCATATTGCAATATATATCGCAATATAAAAATGATCGCAATGTTAGATTTTTCCAATATCGTGCAGCTTTAATGCAAACCTATTATTACATCATTCACACACATGCAAGACACCTTTCATACAGTAAATACTTTTTTGATAACTGAGTT